TCCTGCACAATTACCTTTCAGTTTTTTCTCTGACCTTTACCCTGTTCACTCCCCTCTGGCCTCAATGGTGTCCATGCTGTTCTGTTGCTAACACCCTTCCTGCATGTGTCCAATTCAATTCCTCCCTTTCTTCAAGTATCTTCTCAAGCATCACCTATCAAGAAGCCACCGGGACCACCACTCTGGTGAGCCCTTCCTATCCTGCTCCAGCCTTTATGAGCCTCATAGCGCTTGTTACCTTTAAGATACGACATTCAGCAATATGTATCCCCATTAGACTGTACATATGAGATCATGTAATGAGTCTCCTCATTTCACATTTCAACTTGCACCTTCTAGAACAGGGCCCAAGATACAGTATATACTTGGTAAATACTTGTGGAAAAAAGAATGAAAAAGAGGAAGAAAGGAAAAAGAAATTAAAAACTGGCAGAAAATGTTCACCTTGCTCACTGCTATCACCTGAAACTTACTGAAATACAACTCAAACCAAATTGTCCTTTGCTCACAAATCTTCTACAGCTCCTTGCTCTCTGCTGGGGGCAAACCCACGTGCTGTAGCCTGGCAGTCACAACCCTGCATAAGCTGAGGTAAGTGGACTTTCCTGCCTCATCTGCCTCCCATACATGGAATCCTAAACTGTGTTTCAGAGCTTGTCTGAAGTTCACAGTTCCCTATCACTGCCCTCTGTCACAAGACCTCGTCCTAGACTAGCCTGGCTATGTGACCTTGAAACTGGCTGCTCACATCTCTGGGCCTTTAGTTCTTCACATATCAAGTAAAGGAGATGATTCTTCCTCTTGGGACTTTTTCAGGGGGGATGGAGGCAATGCTTGGGATGCCCTGGGCACAATACACAGCACAGAGTAACCTTCCAGAGCAGGCAAGAACTGGGCAACACAGAACCCAATCTCCCTCCCACAGCTTATGGCCACTGCACAGCAAAGACGCTGAGACACACCAAAGTCTGTCCTGGATGACAGCTAAAGAGTCAGGATCCTTTCTCTCTGTCCCTGCTGCCCCTCTGGACCCCAAATGTGCATACAAAACAATTTAAAAGCAGTAAGAGGTATTTAAACGGAGGAAATCTGCATCAGACCAGCTGGAGAAACAAAGGGCCACCATGGACACTGGGTCCACACTGTCAGCTGACCATATGTTTGTACCTTTCACAGGACTAGTTGAGCATTCCTAATCCAAAAATCCAAAAACTGAAAACCTTTTTGACTGTGACATGAGATGACGCCACATGTGGAAAATTCCACATCTGACAATTCCACATCATGCAAAGGGTCACATTCAAATGTTGGCAACACTGTACAGAATTTACTCCAGGCTAGAGAAACCAGGTTCATATGAAGTATGAATGCATTTCCCTGGTAGACCTGGGTCCTATTTCCATTAGTATGCACAATACAAATATGTCAAAAATCTGGGAATACCCAAAATGTTTTGATCCTAAGTATTTCACATAAGGGACAGTACTGTCACTCTGGCCAGATACTTTTTGGTGGTCAGGGTGAAGGCAGTAGCAGAAGGGGTGCCCTGTCATCAGAGCATATTGAGCAGCAACCCTGGATTCTTCCCACAACCAAAATGTTTCCAGACATTGCCAAATGTGCTTTGGGGTAGGATTGCCAGATTTAGCAATGCATATTCATTCTGAAAACTTATTCACTGCTCATCTGAAATGCAGGCTTTTTTTGGTGTGTGTGTGTGATGGATTGGACCCAGGGTCTCCCCTACACTATGCAAGTACTCTATCTATAGATATAGAGTACCCAACCTTTTTCCTTTTAGCTTTTTATTGTGAGACATGGTCTCACTAATTTGCCTAGACTGGCCTCAAACTTGTGATGCTTCTGCCCCAGCCTTCCAAGTAGCTGGGACCACAGACATGCACCACCACACTCTACCTAAAATGTAAAATTAAATGTGGGCAATCTGTATATTATGCGGCAAACAAATTTGAAAGTGGAGTTGGTAGAGCTGTACCCTCTTCTTGCATTAAGAGCACTGAGTTAGAGCAAATCTATGGTATCCCCACTGCAACATCAGTTGCTTCCTTCGTTTTCTCCCAGTCTCAGCATGCCCTGACTTTGTCTCCCCATCTCCTTTTCCCCTACTGGGGCAGGCGGCTCACCTCCCCAGATACACTCCACTCAGAAGCTGTGATTATGGCTCCACAGTCTTTGTGGTTCCAGCTGGATTCAGAGATAAATGTGGTTTCCCTTGCTGGACTTGCTGCCTCTCCATATCCCTTTTCTGGGGTCTCAAACACTCACATTTGCCCCTTCAATTAAGAGGAACGCTACCCCCTGCCAGAAGCCTAGGCTGAGGCAGAAAAACAAGGCAGTTAGTCACTTTGCTTCCTTTATCAACCAGTGTCATGTGGCTGGCTCCCTTAATGGCTGTTGTCATGACAACAGGAAGCCAGTCCCTGCTAGCTCTAGGAACCAAAACAGAATTAAAGAGTGCCAGAAAGGAGCCAGGGTACAGCTGGTTGGAGTTACCTGTAGGAAATCATACTGTCTCCAGCTCTCTACTGTGGCCGAGAAGAGAAGAAAACATACACACACACAAACCCTGCTCTGGAGAAGCCCAGGCAAATATGAGACACACACAAGGAACTGCATCCAGGATTTGAACTCTGCTCTAAGTCCAAGCACCGTGTGTATGTGTGTGTGTGTGTGTGTGTGTGTGTGTGTGTGTGTATTTGATGCTGAGGCTCAAACTCTTTAACGTGCTAGGAAAGTGCTGCAGGCAAGTGTTCTATCACTCAGTCACACCTTCAGCATCAAACCAAACACCTTCTTACACCTGGGCACTGGGTGCAGTGGCTCAGACCAAGCTTGCACATATTCCTGACTTATCTAACACAGAAACTGACTACTAAGGTACTCCTTTCAGAAAGGAGTATGAGGCTATGACCGGTAGAAATGTGACTCCTCTGGACTTTGAGGGTTGAGAAAATAAAAAAATGACATGATTCTCAGATTTCAAGGCAAAAGCTGTCCCGTTCCACTGGAGGTGAGCTAAACAGGAGCAATCCTACCCCTGAATCCCTGCTGCCCTCAGAAGTGAGCAGAGAAGGAAATAACAGAGGCTGTCTGCTTTGAAGGGCACAGACTTGTCACTAAGCTCTCAGGGACACTCAGTGCTCAATAGGAAGCTCAAAGATGACAGACTTTAACCTGTCCCTGGCACCCATTCTGTGCCCTAGAAACAACTCTTACCCTCTCTGGTCCAGGATACTTTCATTTGTACAATGACAATTATGTCACTGACATCCCAAGGCTGTGGCTCTGTATAGGCATGGATGGACACATTTTGTAGCTAAGCTCTCAGGTCAGACAGACTTGGAAGGTAACTCCTGACTTTTCTCCTTCTTGGTTTCATGGTCTGCTCACGTTCCATGAGCCTCAATTTCTTTGTCTATAAAATGGAGACAACTTCACAAGGAATACTCAGGGCAAGGTACATAGCTCTCCACCTGTAAATAGAAGCTATCATTAATGAAATAACTGGCCTCAATAAATGTAGAATTTAGAAAAAGCCATGAATTTGCAACCAAGAAACTTGCCATCTGACTCTAGATCCTGGAGTTTAACATATCTGCTTCTAGCAAGGTTCTGCATCTACCCATCTCAAGCAGGGTAACAAAAGGTCTATCTGACTAGCAGCTAGCTCCAGCCCTCAAGCCAGGAGAAAGCTGGGTCTCAGCCTTAAACTTGGTTGCTTCTAGGAGACAGGCCCAGCGCTCTGGGCACTAGGAGCAATGCCTACCCAGCACCCATCCTAGACTGTCAGGCACCAGATCTGGGAAATCAGGACTTCTGCATCCTTCTACAGATGAGAAATGAGTTCTAGACTTGTGCAGGGTTCTGAGGGGCTGCTAGCAGAGCTAGGACCAGGAACTCAGCCAGAACCTTCCCTAGATGACTTTTGATACTCTTTTCTGTCTACAGCTGCTGCCTCTTCAATTGAACAACCATTTCATTAAAAAGAAGGGCTGAGTTGAAAACTTCCACGCTGAGAAATCCCATACATGCCATATGGCTCCTTATTTAAAAAAATGCCAGAATGTAAGTCTGTTGTAGAGCCGATTCTTTAAAAAAAAAAGGGGGGGGGGGAGACACACACAGAAACACATAAACATTGACTGTACATGCTTCCCGTGAGGGGTGGGGCAGCAACAGGTCGCAGCCTGGAGGCTGCCCTTTCTGGCTGGCTGCCCCTGCAGGAAGGGACATCTCTACATTTCAGTGGTGCCAAGCATAACACACGTTTGTGAACGGACAGGAAGGCAAGCACCGAGAGCAGGCTTGTGCACAAGGACTACAGCCATGCATTCCGAGCAGAAGACTCAAAAGACGCAGACAGCAGCAATGGTGTCTCAGGCGGAGGGATGGGAGTGGACAATGTAAACACACACGGTCACTGCCTTAGTCTTACATTCAGCACACTTATGCGTCACATAAATATACACAAGTTCATGCTCAAAAATTTAAACACAGATACACGTACACATGATAGAGATTAACTTGGACATCTCCAAAAAGTCGCACATGCATTACGCACACACACACACAGCCACAGGTGTGTGCATATACACATTCTCACTGAGTACAAGCACCTAAATGGTATTACTGCCCCGGTCACTATAAACTCTCCCCTCCTCTACAACAACCTGGGAGGGCAACGGCTGTAAACACTAAAGGAAGACCCTTCACTGAGTCCCACCCACACGCCGCCCGCTATATTCACAGCTGGGGAGAGCGGCCCTCGCGCGGTCTCCACCTCCCCACGCCGCTTAAAACCACCGGGCTCCCCTCCCCCACCCGACGCCCACGGACACCCCCCTCCAAGCTCCGCCCGCCTCCAGGCCTGCGGGAGGCAACGCCCACGGGAGAGCCCGCCCCTGAGGTGGCCGCCCCTCTGCGAAGCTTCGTTCCCCGCAGGCGGCGGTCGCCCCCGCCCCGGGGTCACGGGCACCGACCTCCTTCTTCACGGTGCGCAGCAACCTCTGCCGGGTCTCTGCCTCTGGGGACAAATAGGAAAGCCAGTCAGCCGTGTGGTGGGAGCGGCCTGGCTGCCCTCCCGCCGCCCCGAGCCTGTCCTTACCCGCAGGGGCCGAAGTCATGGCTGGCGGAGTCCGGAGTTATCAGCAGCGGTAGCGGATCCTACACCTGCTTCTCCACTCCGAACTACTGCAGCCGCACGGGGCGGGCCGAGCGCGGGGGACCGCGTAGGGCGTGACGTCAGGGGCGGAGTCGGCCTCGGCTCTTCCCCTCACTCCGTGAACTACGGCGCGGGGCGGGACAGAGGTGAGGGCGGAGTAGGGTGCTGACGTGAGGGGCGGGGCCCGCCGAAGCTCCTCCTTCTCTCCGCCTCGTTGGACGGAGCCAATGGTGATTGACGGAAGTGCTCCTGACGTCACAGGGAGGCGGGATAGGAAGCTCCTCCTGCTCTGCCCAGCCAATTTCTGAAGCTGTGCTGGCGGGATTAAATTCGATGAATGGCTGAGAGTGCGACGCCAGGGGCGGGGTGAGCTCTAGCTCCTCCTCACCTCAGAGACCCTCTGAAACCGCGAAAAGCAGTGCCGAGCGTGATGGACAGCGGAGGGCACAGACGTCGGGGGTGGGGGCGGCACCTCCTCCTCCTTAGTGAAGGATCAGTGCTGAGAGGGCCTAGCTTGTGCCACATGGTGGAGACATACATGGAGACCCGCTTGTCAGCCTCACTCTGCATCACACTGCCTGCTGGCTGAGACCCGGAGGGAGGGTTCTCCCCTCAAACTGGCCTCCTTCCCACTAGCCCAGCGCCCTCTGTCCTACACCTGCATGAGGCTGGGAAAGAAACTATTGAAGGTTTGCTATGTGCCAGTAATGGAAGATGGTAGGGGCATTATTAACATCAGAACCTCAGTTTTAGTGTCTTTAAAATGGCCGTAGAAGGGGTGAAAGTGACTTGATACTTCAGTGTGACATTGTCTGCACAGGCCCAGGGAAGAAATGCCAGCAACAATAAAAGTTAATTGCAGCTGCTATTTTTATTACCATTCTTTTTTTCTTTTATCCCCCGGGGTACCAGGAATCAAACTCAGGACCTCACACTTGCCAAGCATGCACTGCGCCACTAAGCTAAACTCTCAGCCCCTACAATTTTAAGACAAGTTAGTGTTCTCCCCCCACCCTTTGGTACAAGGAATTGAACTCAGGCCCTTGTGCTTGCCAGGCAGGCGCTGTCCTTTATTACTATTTGTTGAGAGCTTGCCAAGACACACGGGGTCATCCATCAAATGCCAAAACATAGGTGCCTCCTCCCCCTAAATGCAGGTCATAGAGGAGTACGGTTCTGCCGGGAGTTTGTCCTCAGTAGGAAGCTCCTGTCAGCCAGGACTTGAAGGTTGCTACTAGCGCATCATTACCTGAAATCAACTTACCTGGAACCCAGAGAATTCCTCAGAATCTGAGAATTCTGCCACTGACCTCTATCCTCTCAGCCAGGGTCCCAAGGACACCACTGACCAATGATGTAGCAGCTGGAACCAGTAAGGGGCTGCTTCCTCCTACACTGTCCCTCCAGTGTTTTCCACCCAGGAGGCTCAGCACTGTGCTCAACCGAAGTGAGAAATGCTTCCAAGTCCTCTGTTTCAGAGGAGCAAAGATTGAAGAATTAGCCATACATGGATAACAGGCACACGCATGACCTCACAACCCATACTGTAATAATAATGATAGCAACAGTTGCAGTTTATCGAACATTCAATGGTTCTGATGCTGTACTATGAATGTCATACATACTATCTCATTTAATCTACCAATGGGTCTGACGTAGGTTACGCCTTTTGTCTGCATTTTATAATGGCAACTCAGAGAATTTAAACAGGTGATCATAAATATATAGCTATCCAGTAAGAGAGGCTGGACTTCCAACTAAAGCACTCACAGTATAGAGAAACCCAAAAGGTGTTCTATTGTATGCTGCAGGTGGACAATGATCCTTATTGCTGTGACAGTTTTCTGTGTCTTCTGGGTAAAGAGGGCCCAGACATTGGTCAGACACTCCTCTGGGTGTGTTGTGAGGTGTGGCTAGATGAGATTTGGTGTGGTGGGTCGCATGCAATCAGCTGAAGATGCTGAATAGAGCAGAAAAGGCTTAGTAAAAAGAAGACCACGTGCCCTACCCTTTGCAGTTCAATGGATTGATTCCTCGTGGGTCCCAGCCCTTTGAATTTATACTGGAACTGAACCAACAGCTCTCCTCGGTCTCCAGCTTGCTGACTGCAAATATTGGGACATCTTTGCCTGCATAATTGTGTGTCAGTGTTTTATAATAGATCACTTTATACATCTGTGTGGGTGGGTGTGAATAGGGGTGTGTACAGTGGGTCTTCTGTGTCTGTGGCTCCAACATCTGTGGATTCAACTAATCACAGACGGACAATATTTGGAAAAAACTGAATTTGTATTGAACATAGATGGACTTTTTTCTTATTCTTTTTTCTTTGTTTTTGGTGGTTCTAGGTGTTCTTTTTTCTTTTACTTCTTTTTGGGGGAGTAGTTCTGAAGACTGAACACAAAGCTGACTTATTTCTCCAGCCTTTTAATTTTGTTTTGTTTTGTTTGGTTTTAGAAATAGTCTTGCTAAGTCATTAGGTAGCTTACAAAGGGCTCGAATTTATGATCCTCCTGCTGCAGCCTCCTCATGCCCCACCATGCCTGACTCCCGATCATATTCTAAATAATATAGTACAACTATGTATCTAGCATTTTCATCATCTTAGGCTTTGTAAATAATCTAGAGATTATATAAAGCACGCAAGAAGGTGTGCATATGGTACTATGCCGTTTCTGAATATCTTTGAATTTTGGTATTCATGGAGGGGCCTAGAATGAATCCAGTCAATAGATACCAAAGGATGATGTGTACATGTTGATGCATATACAAACATGTATACAGTCATCCTTTGGATTTGAGTTCTGTTTCTTTAGAGAACCCTGACTTAATTTTCACTTCATATTTACTCTTCTTTCCCTTTTCCTAATGAAATTGAATTTGTCCTGGTAATCAACTCCTTTCTTGGGCACACGCTTTGGAGAAGGAGTTCTCTTTTCCATCTTGGGGAGATTGTGACTGATCTAAAACAATCACAATGTTCCTGTTTCCTTGGTCAGTGATTGGTTTCAGCATGACAAGTGCCTGAGTGTGATGTGTGACTGTCAGTGGATGGAGGAAGAGCAGCACTCATAGGCTGGTCATGTGGATGTGACTGTACAGTTGGCTAGGACGTGGTCAATTGGATCACGATGCCTGCTGGGATCCCTAGGTCCTGAAGTTGGGGAGCCCTGAAGCCAAGGAATGCAGGTGGGTGGCTCAGGGGAGTTTTAAGAAAAAGACTAGTAATCCTTTTGATGGCCAGCCTTGGTGGACAGCAGGTTGTTGAAGATGACTTTGCTGTATACATCTCTACGTCTGTTGTCTATTTTTCTATGGCTAAAACTGAGGCAAAAAATCTTCCTCACTTTCATAGTTAGATAATAACTGCTAATCTCAACTTTTCCCCACTTCATTTTTATTTAAACTAGGCTGGATTTTTTCCCCCTGATTTGTCTTAGGCAAAGTGCCTGGATGACACGGTACTGTGTGCACTTGGGATAGGGATTTTAAGAAAGCAACTTTAGAGTTGGGACACAACAGATGCAAAAGAGCCTGTCAGGGGTGTGAAAGTTTGTTCAGGGAAGTGATGGCACAATTGCATCATGAGTAAAGAGGATAGCAGCCAAGCCAAGAACTGGAGAAAGATTTCCAGACAGGACAAAGAACGGTGCAAAATGAGCAAAGTGGGAAGAGCGTGCCTAGAAAGAGGAGAGAAAGGAGGCCGTTGGGACTGAAGGCTAGTGATGTGCAGACCCTCAAAGGCCCCTCCATCCTTCACACCTCAAAGTTAATGAGAAATCTCCATTCCCCCTCTCATTTTACCCCATAGTCTATCCACCAGAAATCCTTCTTGATTTATTATGATAATATCCACATAGCAGAAATCTCACCACTTTAATGTTTATTTACTTATTTATTTGCAGTGCTAGGGATTGAATCCAGAACCTTGTATATGGTAGACAAGAACTCTATCACTGAGACATCTCTCAGCTCTTGGATATTTTAAGGTGGATGGTTTGGGGACATTTGGTGCATGTATAATGTTGCACAACCTCGTCATCATCGCTTAGTTTCAGATCATCTTCACACCCTGGAAGGAAACACTGTTTGCATTAAGCAATCACTGTATCCCCTCTCCTCCAACCCCTGTGTCTTGGTTACTTTTTTCTCCTTACTGAGACAAAATACCTGACGCCCAAAGTGAAGGGAGGAAAGATTTATTTAGCTTACAATTTTTGGAGGTTTCAGTCCCTAATCAGCTGGCTCCAAGACAGGATGGCAAGACACAGAGGCAACACTATACGGCGGCAGCCAAAGCAAAAAGGGGGAAAACAGGCCTGTTCTCCGTCTTTATAGTGTATGCAGACTACTTCTCCACCTTCCCGGGCAGATGTAGCACTCACAAAATCTCCTTGCCTTCCTTTGCATAGGATGAGGATATTTACAAAGTAAGAATCCTGCTTCCTTGCTGAGTCTCTCTTAAACTTCTAAACTTCTCAAGTTAACGCAATGTATCAACCATAGCACTTTGCAAATACTAATCTGTTCTCTGTGGCTCAGCTTTGGTATTCTGAACACATCATTGGATTGACTTCAAATGAAGTCATCCAATATGCAACCATTTCTTGTGTCAGCTTTTCTCATTTAGTATCCATGTTTTGGAGGTTTGATGATGTTGTGGCATTTATCAGTGCTTCATTCCTTTGCGTGGCTGGATGATATTTAATTGTATGGATATACCACATTTGTTCTCAGTTGATAGAATTTGGATCGGTCTGCCTTATGATTGTTATAAATAATCCTACTATGAACACTTTGTATAACTTTTTGTAGGGATGTATTTCTTAATTTGGATGTAATATATATATTTCCATTGGTAGAATTAAATATCCAAGATAGGCTACCTTATAAAGAAAAGAGATCTATTTGAACATGTTTCTGGAGGTACAAAGTTAAGGGGCTGTATCTGGTGATGATCTTCTTGGTAGCATCCTGAGATGGTGTAGGGTATCTCAGCACAGGTGGCAAAAGGGTAAAATGTGTATATGTGTATTTTTGTCTCTCTCCTTCGTCCTATAAAGCCACTAAGATTCATCCATGAGACCTTCACTAATCACTTCCTCAAAGGCCCATCT